GGACAAGTCTTCACTCTTTGTTTAAAAATCTCTTTAGGAGGGCTGGAGAGATGGCTCAGTGGTTAAGAGCACTGACTGTTCTTCCAAAGGTCCTGAGTTCAATTCCCAGCAACCACATGGTGGCTCACAACCATCTGTAATGAGATCTGGTGCCCTCTTCTGGCCTGCAGGTATACATGCAGGCAGAATATGTATATATAATAAATAGCTTTAAAAAAAATCTCTCTAGGAATACCCTCATGGGCATGCCTGGAAGTGTGTGCCTTTTAGGGATTCCAAATGCAGTCAAATTGAACATTAACTGTCACGGGTAGGTATTGAGAAACCCAAATAAATTTGGCCTTTAAACGTAGGTAGATGATAAACTTGACCTAAAATAACCGCCCTATATACTAAAAGCAAACCCAATTTGATCTGTAAATAAACTGTGACAACCTGACCCTGTAACCAAGTAACTTGATCTTAGCCAATCATAGTAGCCGAACTTCCAGCCAATCAGAGGCTAAAAGCTGCCCAAATATGCCTCTGCATGGGGCCTATGATACGGCTTTAGTGGGTAAAAGTGCCTACCACCAAGCCTGATGACTTGAGTTCAATACTGAGACCCACACAGTGGAAAGAGAGAACTGATTCCCAGGGACCAACCCCCCAAAAGCTGTCCTCTGTCCTTCATGTGCACACCACGGCACCTATCTGTGCACAAGTGTACACACACACACACACACACACACACACACACACACACACACACACAAATCAATAAGTAAATGTAAAAGAATGTTTAAAGTATGACCATATGAAGTAAGTGACTACTGCTGCCAATGAGGCTATTACCTTCTTGGGGGGGCGTGGAGTGGGGTGTTTGTAACACGTATATAAAATACATATGTGATCGTGTGGGTGTGTTCGTACGGATATGCATGTGAAGGCTAGAATCTCCAAGTGTCTTACTCGTTGTCCACAAGTGAGTTTCTGAGATGGAGTCTCTCACTTAACCCAAAGCATGCCGCTTGCCTAGACTCCCTGACTGGACTTCCCTCTAGGAATCCACTCCTGTGTCCCTTCAGTTCTGGGATTACAGATGTGTGCTGCCATACCTGGCTTCTCTGCGGATGCTGAGGCTCTGAACTGAGGTTTCCAGACTTTCAGGGCAGGCACTTCACTGACTGAACCCAAGTCTCTAGTCAGGTTGGTTCTGTGTGTCATTTCCTATTCTCTGCCTACAAATACAACCTACGGTGAGAGGGGGGCCTCCTGGAACATCTTTGGTCTGGAATGCTGCCTGGCTCTAGCCTCTTTCTTTCCAGTATACTTTGTTAAATTTAACTGGTCTCAGTTTTTACTTTGTGTGTGTGTGTGTGTGTGTGTGTGTGTGTGTGTGTGCCCACGTGTGCCCACCTGTGCACATGCAGACGTCAGAACACAACACTGGGTGTCTTGCTCTATCACTCTCCACATTACTGTCCTGAAACAGGGTTTCCCACTGAACCAGAAGCTCACCGTTCCTGTTGGCTGTCTGGCCAGTGAGGTCTGCTGCCTTTGCCCCCGAATGCTGGGGTTACAGGCATACACAGTCATGTCTACTTACCTGTGTGCTGAGGGTTCAAACTCAGGCGCCGACCTTGCAGAGCACACTGAGTCATCTCCCTGGCTTCTTTCATTTGCTGTTTTTGAAACAGGAGCTCCCATAGCCCAGAGTGGCCTCAGTTGCTGGTCCTCTGGGATTACAGGTGTGAATCCCTACAGCTGTCTTTGAGTGTTCCTTACTTACCCAGGTTAACCCTGACGATTTCCCCTGTAAAGGTCATATTAACCTTAGCGCCTTCTTTCTTACTCTTCTCGACGCCAAAACGTGACCTCTGAGAACTCACTGAGGACAAAGACTCCGGGGCTGCCCAACCCAGAGCTGTCGTCCCTTCGTATTGTGGGCCTCCTTCCTCAATCCCCTCCCACAACACTGGATTTCCACTCTTGGTTTCTTCATCTTTAGGACCTTTGCCTCTAAGCCTCTTGATTATTTATCTTGTCTTAGTCACCAAGCATGATCCGAGTTGTCAGCGGGAAAGCCCTGTCATCCACCCATCTAGCCCTCTTGGCAATAATTCGTTTGGGATTATGGCATTGGGTTTAAGTTTCAAAATACTTTTCAACATTTTCTAAGATGTCCAAAATGTAAAATGTATAGTAATAAATTTATGTGTGCACAGTGTATTAATAATTTTTAAAAATCCCTTGGACGTTGATTCTTATTCTTTAAAGGTAGCATGTCAGCTGGACATGGTGGTGCATGCCTTTAATCCCAGCACTCAGGAGGCAGAGGCAGGCGAACTCTGTGAGTTCAAGGCCAGCCTGGTCTACAGAATGAGTTCCAGGACATCTAGGGCTGTTACATAAAGAAACCCTGTCTCAAGAAACCACACATACAAAAAAGGTAACTGTTACCTATCTATAAGCCCTTCCCCGCTAGATAAAGCTTGGAACCAAACTCCAGGTCAGTTTACATGTACATTAACACACTAATCAGAGCCTTAATGATGAAATTCCTCTAAAATGAAATTAGTATTGTTATTTTGAAAAGTCTCCAGAAATTACAAGCTAATAAAAACCATGTCCGAGTGAGTGGTAATGTTCTGATGTGCTGGGTGTGACAGTTGATTTATGTCGTCTGGGCTAGGTTTATTATCCAGTTGTTCGGTCACGTTATCCTTGTAGCTGTTACCTCGATGGTATTTTTTGGGTGTGATTAACATTTAAAACATCATTTGAATGAGAGGATCGCCCTTTACAGTGAGCACAGGCTTCATTCAAGCAGCCACTGAAGGTCCTAGAAAAGACTAATGCCCTGCTGGGTGGTCTTTATTGGTACAAAACCTAGGAACTCAAGAATGAGGCCTCAACTTGCCCCTGGTCTCTGTCCTACTATCCTGTCCTGCAGATTTTGGACATGCTTTGTTGTCTGTCTGTCTATCCATCTCAACATCCTGTTTTTTTAGCGAACAGTGACTGATGTGCTCTGAAAGGTCCAGATGTGCAGACAAATTCCACACTGAGCACAGAGAGGCAAGTAGTTGATCTGTGTAAACTATGGCTGCCCCCTGCTCTGGACCCATCTTCTCTTAACTCTAATTCCCTTTTCTAAACCTTGCTTAGGATCTGCTAACACCTTTGTTTGTTTGTGTGGTGCTAGTGTGGTGCTAGAACCCAGGGCTTCCTGACATACCAGGCAAGAGCATTACCCATTAGCCACTGCCCAAGTCCCCCATTTATATGTGTTGACCTGGAAATTACACCTTAGCAAGGGCCTCTTGTGTGACACTCAACTTGTGTGTAATGCAATTCACGTCCTAAGCTTTTGCTTTCAGGCTACATATGGACAAGTTTTAACACTGCTCTCTTACAAAGAATGTGCTGTCAATCCAGAAGAGACGGGTTTCTCTGACACGCCCTGACCGCATGCCTGTGTTAAGCCTGCTGGGTGAGGCAGAGCCAGGTTCTGCAGAGTACAAAGCTTATGCAACTTTGAGAAGAGTTTTTAGAGAAAAAAAAAAAAAACTTTAAATCTTCACTTTGGTGAATGTCCCATGATATACAAATTATCAAGGATAATATGAACACTGCCCCCAGGTTCCTGAACACAGTGTATAACATGAGGAATCTCAAACCTTAAGTTTTCTTAGTCTCAGAGAGAATCAGGTTCTGGGGCTCTGGGTTTTTGGGGGTAGAACATGGCTTGGGCTTGGGTTGGTTCCCGCTATACGGGGGAGAGAAGGCGTGGGGTGTGGGGGAAGAGGCCTGAATCCTGCTGCTCCAGGAGGACAAGCCCCTCTGCCAGCCTCTGCTGCTCTGCAGATGCACTGCATATCACCGGGTGCCTATGGCATTTTAAAATGGCTGCCTTGTCTGCTATCTGCAAACCTCTAAGCTTCTAGAAGCGTTCCATCCTTCAAGAAGAGCATCCCTGGCGGTATGGGGACCGTAAATGCAGCAGCTTCATGGTGCCCACTTCTCTCCGTTATCCTTTCTCCACATGCCTGCCACCTCCTCCTCCCATCCTGCCGTTTCTTCAGACTTCCAGATGTTGAGTGGCTGCATCTCATTTGGAGATGTCCATAGAGATCATTGGTACCCACCCCTACCTCGTGGCTATTTCTCCCCTGACCCCATTCTCAAGTAAGATGCAGTCTTTTCTTCAGTCTCTCCCCAGAAGCACGCACATAGGACATCATACACGCAATAGACTTTCCGAAGGAGTAGGAACAAGTTGTTTTGTATCACAGCCAAAACAAGGCACTTCAAATTATTTGTTTGCTTTTTGATTTTGTACAGCTGGAGATTGAACCCAAGGTCCCAGGCATGCTAGGCACACACTCTGCCTGTGAGATACATCCCCAGCCCTTAAATTTGCGAAAACATTTTAATTACATTTTATTATTGTTAGTGTGTGTGTGTGATGGCATGTGCACCACAGATTTATCAGAGGACAGCTTTCAAGAGTCGAGTCTCCCCTTCTACACTGTGGGTAGGGATGGATCTCAGGTCCTCAGGGTTGTGGCAGGTGCCTCTACCCACTGAGCCATCTCACCAGTCCTAAAATTGTATTTGAATCACCTTATTACAACCACTTTTTGAGAATCCCTCCCCGGACTCTTCCCATTCCTGACTCGAACCCTTGGCAAACTGCCTGAATCCCTTCTCAATACAACCAAATTTTTCACCCCCTTCTCAGTAGTCAGCAGACATACTCAGTTTACGTTTCCATATATGAAAAGCTCCCCAGAGCTATCACAGTCAAGTGCTGTTTTGTTCTTTGCATTCGAATGACCAGAAACCACATAGATAAGGAAACAGGTAAGACACTGACCTGGACAGCACAAAGTGACAACCAAGAAGTCATCCTCGGAGCTAGAAGTTTTATTTAGGGAGAAGAAGGTAGTCCTGGGATGGGAAGCTATGCTGTGGATCCCAGGTTGTGCATACAACACTCCCGACAGCTTCTGTTCCTACACGACTCCATCCTGTGGCAGGGCCTCTGCCTTGAGTTTTTCTAGTTCCTCACCGCTGGATTCCATAGGGCAGCGCTGGTACCTAGCACCAGGCGTCTTTGTCCAGGAAGAATAGCGACTGTGCCAGAGACTGCAGAGGCCATAGGTGGCAAGGAACAGGGCAGCCGCCAAGACCAGGTGCCAGCAGAAGAAGATGGTTAGGAATGCGTGATCCATAGGGTCGTCTGTCCTCCAGGGCTGTCCAGTAAGAGGTATATACATCTCACAGATCTGCATCATCCAGCTGCTTAACACCAGCCCCAGCCAACTCTTGAGGATCCAGAGTGAAGGATTGTTGGGGACCCAGACCTCCACAGTGAGCACCAGAGCAAGGAAGAAGGAGGGTATCATTAACAGAAGGTGTACTCGGATCTCCAAGGAGCTTTTGTTCTCAATGTGGGTTACCATCAGCATTATCAGCACATAGAAAGCCAACGCTTCGGCTGCGCACTTCAGCTTCACACCCCAACTTGCCAGGTGTGACTGGCTCACAATGTCCACCACGCCACTGAGAATAAAGAACCCAAACATGGTTACATGCTGCCAGTTGTCCTTGAAGACAAATGGCCGCCGAGGGTCCTTCCAATCTATCATCTGCACACGATTCACCCCGAGGGGGTAGAAATATTCACCGAAAATGCCAAAGGTGGGCACAACTATCTTCAACACTGCTTCATACGATACCTGCCAAGACAGCCTGTGTCCCCGCAGCTTCCTTGGGAGCAGGGGGTGCTTGAGGACCTTCTGTTCCTGTAGCAGGGCCAAGGATGTCAGCACCGAGTAGTAGAATGAGAAGAGAAAGAAGCCTACTCCTGGCAGCAGGTGTCCCTCCAGGGTTCCCATGGCTTTGTGTGTGTGGAGTCAGACAAGACCAAAGCCAACAATGAAGAACTGGCTGTCCTCAAAAGCCTCACAAGAGATTATCAGAGCCTCCAACTTCCTGGCCCTGCCACCCACATGCAAGAATATCCTCATCACAGATGTCTGAGCCACTCCCAGGGCGGGGCCTCTAAGCAAGGTGATTTTCAGTCATCTTAGAGTTCTCCTGACTGAAGTTTGCTGGAGCTGAGATTTCAGCTTCTGTATCATGGGGCTGGCCAGCACTACAGACTGGGTTTGCCTTTCCTTCCACTAATGCCCATGCTCCAGCCCCACAGAGAGAGGTAGGGAAAGAATGAAGGGGCTTTAACAGAGGGCCGGTGGGCTGTCTCCACTACTGACAGCTGGTGCTAGGCTTGGTAGAACTATCTCTCCATTTAAATCCTTCAACAAGGGGATGGAGAAATGGCGTCAGTGGTTAAGAGCTTTTTCTTCTCTTACAAAGGACCCGAGTTTGGTCTCTAGCACCCATCTGGGGCAATTCACAACTGCCTGTGACTTCAGCCCCATGGGATCTGACACCCTCTTCTGGTCTTCTAGGACACTCCCACACAGGTGCACACACATACACACAGTTAAATCCATGAATGGCTTTATGAGAAGAAACACCTTTTGTTTAAGACCCATTCCGTGTCGCTTTATAACTGAGTCCCATGCTGAGGAAGACAGAATGGAGTTTTATTACCATGGAGTTGTTCATATTATTTACTTTCAAATCACTCTTTCATAATTTCTGAAAGAAGCGCCTTAAGGGAGGTGAGATTTATTTTGCTTCTGGGTTTCGGAGGGCTGATCCCACTGTGGTGGGGGAGCCTTGCTGAGCAGCTCAGATCTCAGTAGCAGGAGTCTGTGGCAGAGACCATTCACATTTCAGTGAACCAGGGTGCAGGTAGACTGCAGGGAACACTGTAGGACCTTCCAAGGCCTGCCCCCTACTTTTGCCAGCTAAGTAGACCTCTTAATGTGTCCACAGTCTACTAAGACAGCAAGCAGAGAGCAAGTGTTCAAACCACAAGCCTGGGAGAGACAGTGTGGTCAAATCGCAACTGTTGCTATAATAAACACTCAAACATGTGGAAGGATCACCCTCAGATGAGAGACTGTGGGGCAAATGTTAGCAGGTGCTGGGGTGTGATTGTGATAGCGAGGGACTGCTGTGGAACAATCCTTTTCTACACTGTGAATATATATTACTTTCATTGGCTAATAAAAAGCTGGCAGGCCAATAGCTGGGCAGGAAGTTAGGCAGGAAAGCCAAACTGAGAATGATGGGAAGAAGGAGGGCGGGGACGGGGAGATACCAGCTGGCTGCCACAGCCACTAGGCAAGCAGGACATGTAGAAAATGAGATAACAAGCCATGAGCCATGTGGTAAAGCATAAATAGAAATATCAGGCCAGGCAGTGGTGGCACATGCCTTTAACCCCAGCACTCAGGAGGCAGAGCCAGGCAGATCTCTGTGAGTTCGAGGCCAGCCTGGTCTACAGAGTGAGATCCAGGACAGGCACCAAAACTACACAGAGAAACCCTGTCTCAAAAAAAAAAAAAAGAAAAGAAAAGAAAAAGAAATATCAGTTGATATAAGTGTAAGATTTAGTTGTAACAAGCCTGAGCTATCAGCCAAACATTTATAAGTAATATTGAGCCTCCCAGTCAATTATTTAGGAAGTGGCTGCCAGGTATTTGGCAACAGGTGGGCAGGAGAGAAATGCCCAATTACAAGAGAGTCACTGAAGTAAATCTGACTCAAACACTTCAGTCCACTAGTTTCTGTGGATGTTCATTAGAATCACTGGGAGCTTTTAATAATATGACCAATGTTTGAGATTCACCCTTCAAAATGCTCATTTGATTGGCCTAGGATTAGATTTAAATATTTATGCTTTAGACTTCTAAAGACACAAAGGGATAACTTCCATGTGATTTCAATGTTTTATTTGTTTGTTTGCATGTTTGGTTTTCGGAACAGGGTTCTCTATGTAGCCTTGGCTGTCCTGGCACTCACTCTGTAACCAGGATGGCCTCTGCCTGCCTCTGCCTCCTGAGTGCTGGGATTAAAGACTTTCACCACTACTGCCCAGATCAATTATTTTTCTTGAGGAGGGGTCTCACACTACAGCACAGGCTAACAGGGAACTTACTGTGTAGCCCAAGCTGGTCTTGAGCTCACAGAGACTTTCCTGTCTCAGCTTCCAAAGTGTTGGGATTCCAGACTTGAACCACTAAGCTTAACTCATGATTCCACTTACCAAGGATCCCTAAATCAGTCAAACTCATGGAGACATGAAATGGAATGTTGGTCCTCAGGAGCTTGGGGAAGACGGGGGTTAGGCATCTGTAGTGGCTTGAAAGAAAATTGCCACAGGGAGTGGCAGTGTTAAGCAGTAGGACCTTGTTGGAGAAAGCGTGTCACCGTGGGGTGGGCTTTGAGTTCTCCTATGCTAAAACTTCTTCCAGTGTCACAGTCCATTTCCTGTTGCCTTCTGATCAAGATGTAGCCAGTACCATGTCTGCCTGCATGCCGCCATGATCCCCACCATATTGATAATGAACTAAATCTCTGAAACTGTAAGCCACCACCTCAATGAAATGTTTTTCTTTATAAGAGTTGCCACGGGGGCTGGAGAGATGGCTTAGAGGTTAAGAGCACTGGCTGTTCTTCCAGAGGTCCTGAGTTCAATTCCCAGCAACCACATGGTGGCTCCCAACCATCTGTAATGAGATCTGGTGCCCTCTTCTGGCATGCAGGCATAACACTGTATACATAATAAATAAATCTTAAAAAAAAAAAAAAAAAAAAAAAAAGAGTTGCCATGGTCACAGTGTCTCATCACAGCATAGAAACCGAAAGACATCATCATTGTTTGATAAGTGTGGAGTTTCCCTTGGGAACATAAAAGGCATATGGAGATAGAGGGGAGTGATGGGCACACAGCAATGTGAATGTCCTTTCTGCCACTAACTGTATGCCTAAAATGGTTTGAGGGGCGTATTTTGTTATGTCTGTAGATATTTACCAAAATTATGAAAAAGTGAAAAGTGAAGAATAAGAACCCCACCCCCATGATTCTACTGTTGATCATGATGAGGGCCACTCACCTACCCATTGAAGCTGCAGAGTAGATGCTGACTACTAGCTCGCCTACTTATGCGAGGGGACTGATCCCACCCCTGATGTGAGAGTGACATCATACCAGAGCAAGATCTCACTACTGAGGAGCAGAGAGCTCCATTTAAAAAAAGTTTTCAGGGCCCAAAATATTGCTGAATGGTTGAGCACTAGCCAACCATGCTGCAGGATTCTAGATGTGATCCCTAATGCTGAAGAAGAGAAAGAGAAAACACATGCACACACACACACACATAACACACACGCACACACACACATACACACACACACATACACACACACACACACACACACACACACACACACACACACACACAGTGTCTGAGATGAAAGCTATCTAATCTAATCTGATATAGTCTGGATCTCAAATGTCAGCCAAAGCTCATTTGTTGAAGGCTTGACTCCCTGATGGTGGAGTTACAGGGAGGGATGGAATCACCAAGAAATGGTATTACCAGATTTTTTTAAGGTCCAAGCTTGGCCTCTGAAAGCCCTAACATGTTCAGCCATCCATCCATGTCTCCATCCTCAATGTTCCAAATAATGAAACAAGTAAATACTGAATTGATCAATTTCTCTACCTTTCAAAGGAATCCCAAAGTTATTTCTGGGACCTAATAAAATTCCATTTGTTGATTAGATGGTAGGTACACAGGCAATTTGGGGGAAAGTCATTGAGCTGTGTGCTTCTCTGTATTGATACTATGCTTCTATAAAAAGCTAACATTATAAACTAAGTAACAAAAGATTGTTGTAGAATAATCTTTTTGTACACTGTGAAGATGTGTCACTGTTATTGGTTCAATAAAAAAGCTGAATGGCCAATAGCTAGGCAGGATTTCCAGGCATGGAGGATGCTGGGAAGATGAAGGGTGGAGATACCAGAGGTCACCAGCTAGACAGAGAGGAAGCATAACATGTAGGAGATGAGTTAACAAGCCATGAGCCACGTAGCAGCATGTAAATGAATAGAAATGGGTTAATTTAAGTTATAAGAATTATTTAGGAACAAGCCTAAGCTGTGGGCTGGGCTTTCATAATTAATAATAAGTCTCTGTGTGATTATTTGAGAGCTGGCTGGCGGGACAGACAAAGACTTATTACAAAGGATTCCTTCCACAACCGAATGCACAGGCACATTGCTCAGCTGTTTCTCCTCCCAGATCTTGCTACAGAATTCTACAGTGTCCCCCACCCACCCGGGCCTGTATTGCAGAAGTCAGGTGTAGGTGTGGTTAGTTCATTGTTTTCAAAATATGGTCGAAAGAAGAGCACACACCAGTGTGTTGTCACTGATGAGAAACCTGCAGATAAGGCCCTTAGATCCTCACTTGCATATACCCAGATGGCAGTCATGTAAGACTAGAAAGACCACCTACCTGCCCTCTTCCCACAATCTCCTCCTTAGCAGACATCCTTCTGAGCTCACATTTGTCAGAGTCTAGCCTTACAGGAGAAGCCTGCCAGGAGCTAACAGCCTACTGAGTAAAAGAACGTGCCTGTGGGATAGGAAGCCAAGCTAGATCTCCAGACATCTCAGTCTACCTGTCGGTGGGCATCTGTAAAATGTTTATCATGGAGTCGGGGTACAACTAGGGACCGAAGATCCACTCATCCTGGGCACCTTCATCCCGCAGGCTAAACTCCACCCTAAAAACCTTTGTAAGTTCCACAACTGGGGGCCTGGGGCACAATAATATTGGTATCTGGCAGCATCAGTGGTGCCTGAGGCTAGAGATGGCGCCAGTATGGCATCACTGAAGGCCAGTTGTCAGCAGAAGGTGCTGTGGTGCTTTCCAGCAGATGGTCTCATCACCATACACAGTTTCTGCACCTGGGTGCTGACCCACACACCATCCAGGCCTTGAACACCTACATCAATAGCCAAGACTCTGGTTTGGTGCCCCAGAATGCGCTGGCGGTGTTGGTTCACCACAGCCATGGTTCACCACAGCCACCACACGTGGACCAGGAAGAAAGCCAAGCCTGGTGACTAAAGCCCCAGCATGTAGAGTAGGACCCATTTCTCAGGGTCTTCCCAGGCCACCATTACTGTTGCTTTGTCCCTGAAGGACCAGAGAACTCAGCAAGGCTGAGGTGAGAGGACCAACCATTTCCCCTCATCTCTCCCACAGGGACTCTTCCCTCCAGCGCCTTGGTAGGACACCATTTCTATAGGGCAGGGCTCTGGTCCTGAGGAGAGTCCAGTGTTGTCTCAAAAT